TACGGGAAGAAAAGACAGTGCTTCAGAGCCCTGGGGTGGGATGAAGTCCATAGTAAGTAATGGTGAGCATTGCAATGTTTATATTATTATTATTATTATAATCAAGGGGAAGCGCTAAACCCATAGGATTATACAGCGCCTGGGGGGGGGGATGTGGAAGGCATTCAGGCTTAATTCGGGGAACTGGAGCACAGATCCAATTCCCTAAATCAAGAGCCCCTCACCAACATCAAGGAACCTTCCTTGAAGGGGGGTTGATAGACTCGAACCTATCTGATATTATCCTGATGCCAAGTAACTTTGAAAAGGCGATAAATGACATGCCCATGCACTCTGCCCCAGGCCCAGACTTGTGGAACTCCGGGTTCATCAAGAACTGCAAGACGCCCCTATCATGTGCTTTTAACATCCTATGGAGAGGGAGCACGGACATAGGGGTCGGCCCACAGCTGCTAAAAAAAAAAAAAAAGACATAGCACCACTCCACAAAGGGGGCAGTAAAGCAATAGCAAAGAACTACAGTCCAAGCGCACTAACGTCCCATATCATAAAAATCTTTGAAAGGGTTCTAAGAAGTAATATCGCGACTCCTCTAGATACCCATCAGTTACACAACCCAGGGCAACATGGGTTTAGAGCAGGTTGCTCCCGTCTGTCCCAACTACTGGACCACTATGACAAGGTCCTGGATGCTCTAAAAAACAACCAAAATGCAGATGTAGTATACACAGATTTTGCAAAAGCCTATGACAGGTGTGAGCATGGTGTAATAGCACACAGAATGCATGATAAAGGAATAACAGGAAACGTTACCAGATGAATCTATAACTTCCTAATATTATTATTATAATTATAATCAAGGGGGAAGCGCTAAACCCGGAGGATTATACAGCGCCTGGGGGGGGATGTGGAAGGCATTCAGGCTTAATTCGGGGAACTGGGCACAGATCCAATTCCCTAAATCAAGAGCCCCTCACCAACATCAAGGAACCTTCCTTGAGGGGTAACTTCCTAATAATGAGAACACATAGTAGTGGTAGAGAGAGTAAAGTCTGAGGTGGCTATGATGAAAAGCTCTGTCGAGGCACATTACTCAATCCCAACCTGTTCTTCATCCTCATGTCTGACACAGACTGGGATGTAAGCCACAGCACTGTGTCTTCCTTTGCAGATGACACCCGAATTTGCATGACAAGACTCTAAGCGGACATCAATCAAATCCTTACATGGGCCGCAGAATACAATATGAATTTCAATTATGATAAATTTCAATTACGCCATGGAAAACGTGAGGAAATTAAAGCTATATCAGCTTATAAAACAAATTTGAACCACACAATAGAGCATAAAACTAATGTAAAAGACCTGGGAATGATCACGTCAGAGGATCTCACCTTCAAAAACCATAACGGTGTATCAGTCGCATCTGCTGAAAAAAATGACAGGATGAGAACCTACAAAACTAGGGATGCCAAGCCCATGATGACACTCTTTAGGTCACTTGTTCTATCTAGGATGGAATATTGCTGCATACTAACAGCTCCTTTCAGGGCAGGTGAAATTGCTGACCTAAAAAATGTACAGAGAATCTTCACGGCATACATAACTGTGATAAAACACCTCAATTACTGGGAACGCTTGAAGCTCCTCAACCTGTACTCCCTAGAATGCGGGAGGGAGAGATACTTGATTATATACACTTGGAAAATCCTAGAGAGATTAGTACCAAACTTGCACATGAAAATCACTCCCTATGAAAGCAAGAGACTTGGCAGATGATGGAACATCCCCCCCAGTGAAAAGCAGGGGTGCCACAAGCACGATAAGAGAAAACAGTAAGTGTCAGGGGCCCAAGACTGTTCAACTGCCTCCCAGCATACATAAGGGGGATTACCAATAGACCCCTGGCTGTCTTTAAGAAGGTGCTGGACAGGCAGCTAGTCATAACCTGACCAACCGAGCTGTGGTTCGTACGTCAGGTTGCATGCAGCCAACAGTAACAGCCTGGTTGATCAGGCCGATACACCATGAGGCCTGATCACAGACCGGGATGCTGGGGCATTGACCCCCGAAACCTCCAGGTATCTCCAGGACCGTGTCCTCTATGTCTATGCTTCTATGTCTAAGGATACCAGTCTTAAGTCTCTTGGTACCTTTTTCTTAATATTTTTCATTTGAACCAGAAAATGTGTTGTGTCCTGTATCCTTTCTGGGAGGAGGTCCAGAAGAGGCATCAGAAAGTTGTCCACTGGTCTGGTGGGTGCTGCACAGCCTGATAGGACTGATCTAGTTTTCCAAGCTCCTGTGTCTTTATCTAATTCCTTGTATGTTTTGGGAAGAAAGAACACATGCAAGATTTTTGCTTTAAATCTTAAACACCACTGCCAAGGGCATTAACAGAATAGGAGGGACATCGACACCCTTTCACCAACCAACGAACTAGAATTTCTGAGGGAAGGGCCCCCCAAAGGACGATAGCAGGAAAGGGAATGGATGAGGAAAGGTGGGAAGAGAAAGAAGGGATGGTAAGGATGGGTAAAGAAGAGGGGAGTGGGGGTTAATTAGATTCAATCAGAGGAAGAACATCGAAAGGTCCAATTCCTCTGACCAAAAGTCTCTTCACATCAAGGATCCCCGCTTGAAGAGCCCCCAAATGAATGTAGTGAAAATGTAGTTAAAATATCTACTAATTTGAGGGTGCATACAAAACTGCTATCCAGTGTAATTACTCCATGTTAGTAACCAGGGATTATTATAATCAGTTAAGCGCTAAACCATAAAGGTCATACATAACATAGTAACCAAGGAGCTGCTTTATATTATTACAATCAAAACCAAGCACTAAACCCACTAGGGTCATACAGTGCAGCTATTTTATAATTATGATTGCATCTCTCATTCACCCCCTATCCTTGCTGTTTATGATAAACTTATTTGAGAATATGATCGAATTATACACTAAACTCAAATGGGTCATACAGTGCTGTGGGTAGGGGTGCTAGGTTAGGAGTGTGAGGGGCAGGTCATCTTGTTAAGAGACCAAATGGGACACATGACTCATTAATCTCATGTTGACATGCCCAATACCTCTCCATGAATTGTCTAGTCTTGTTGACATTGGAACACTCAAAGTGTTCCATATATCAAAATGCAGATAAATAATTTCCAATATCTCCTGTCAGTGCCCTGATGCCGACGTCTTTCTGCTTCCATTATGAAGACTTCCTCCGTGACTTATCTGGAATTGACTTATTCCACCAACGTCGACTTTTCCTCTTTAGAACACGAGACTTTCACACACCTTGCTCCCGGCATCAGCGCTCATCCATTTTATAGCACATTATTACCTGTATGGGTTTAGTGCTTTTTGTAATAATGAAAATAGTGGCAGTGTTGGTTGTAGCAGGTATAGTAGTAGTTTTTAGCACTGATGTGGTGGTGGTTATTAGCAATGATAGTGGTGGTGGTTATTAGCAATGATAGTGGTGGTGGCGGTGGTTGTAGCTGTAGACATGGTAGTGGTATGGTTATGGCTGTAGCACTTGTAGTGACTGTGTTGGTGAATTTAGTTGTGACAATAAGTAGTATTAGAAGACACAAAAATATTAGATGTTGTACAGGTTGACCATCACTAATCCGACATCACTGGAACCTGTAGCGTGCTGGATTAGTGATTTTGCAGTATTACAGAGTGGTTAAGTTAGAATACATGTATACTGAAGCCAACAGTGATATTTACGCATTGCCAATTTCACCCAATTTATGCCTTGTATTTGACCCATTCCACTGATCCAGTCTACCAAACTCATAGCTATTTTGCTAGTATTCCTTCTATTCTGTTGATTGAGTACAAGAAACTGCCCATTTACTTATTTCAACTACTCAACAAAGCAGTCAGAAATCAGTAATTTGTCCAATTTCACACACATTTCAAAAGATGCCAATTTCAAAATAGGGTCCAGAATAAACAATGCAGACATTCCTGGCACTAAAATAAAATTTTCTCTGTTTATTAGTCATGTCTCCAGGCCCCTCCTATATTACGCTTCCTTTCCATTTTGAATTTTTGTTCGCACAAAAAATAGATTTACTGCTATGCAAACTACTGCATTATTGTAATAATTGTATAAATAATGTCAACCCATTCATGACTGTGTATTAGACTGGCCAGTTGGACACACATTGGACAGTGACATCATTTGTTTACTCTTGAGCACCGGCAAAAATCGAACATTATCACTACTTTGAGCTCAATTTCTAGGTACTTTTCATAGTGAAAGCAATCAAAATCATATATATTTCTGTAATATATCTTCCATTCTATCAAATCAGACCAAAAAAACTATAATACAACCATAAAAACCATACGAAAATACACCAAAAAACACGGTCTCAGTTTTTTGCTCATTATGCACTGCGTGCTGCAGGTTTTTTTTTTTTATATAGTGCACACTTGCCAAACACTTATTCTCTCATATGTAGGCCCAAATTTACCAGTCACAGCTTATCTGAGCAGGTTGAGCTCATGGCAACCAACAGTGGCTTCAAAGCCACCTTATCTTTTGTGGACAATGTACAGTGTATGTGCTTAACACGACAAGCATTTCTTTTATTCGTTGGAACTAGAGGTAGGGCTAAAGATGAGCAGGTTATAACAATAAATGGAGAAAAAGAAATTGGAATGACTTATGCAGCAAGTAGCACCACCAAACAGTAGTGGCAGGTTGGTGTGGTGACCCTGGAAATTTGAAATTATGCTAGCTGAAATTCATGCTGGATTGCTGGATCAGTGACGGCCGACCTGTAGTACATGTGTGCAGACAGTGCTTTGCTTTAGTGGAAGTGTGTATGCATACCACACTTTCCTCGAGTGCTTGTGTGTATACATGGACCTTCATGAGTGTTTGCATATGAGGATGAAGCATATAGTTTAAAGGCGTGTGTCCACACCAGCTGTTGATTGAGAGGTCATGACCCAGCAGGTGAGTCTCGTCCGGCAGGTGTGGCCACCAGCAGCGAGGTCACCACGGAGTCAGATACGACGGCTGAGCCAGACCTGGTCTCCTTCTGTGCCTCCCTCGGCAACACTCGTGCTCTCAGAGTTCCTGCACTCTTCAAACCTGGTCAGTCATCTACTGCTGCAACCATATACTTATTAAAAATATACTTAATTATAATTAAACACAGAAGCAGGATACTATGTCTCTCCTTGTAAAAGACTTAAGGAATTTTTCTAAATAATCATGGTTATATTATATATCAGGGTGTTCCATTATTAGCATACTGCATAATTTTTACCATTTTTCTAAGTGAATATAGTGTGAGAAAGGAATCTATTATGCAGATGGGGACTATCAAACTGTGGCGGACATGGTGGGCGGAAGGTCGAGGACTGAATCCACCACCAGCCATGAGGAGAGTTCAGACGAAGCGAGGGGCAATTCAGCCTCCCACCGCCGCTCTCGCCAGGAGCCCCAGCCCAGGCAGGGCCACAGACCATCCCGTGGTGACCCAGACTACAGCTATGCCAGGCCCGTCAAGAAGCAAGGACCTCCACCTCCACCTCTTTCCTCCACTGAGAGTAACAGGTGAGTTCTCATCATCTCTCAGCCTGGCAGCTCACGCAGATCTTAAATTTCACCTCAGCTATATGCTAAACCTGTACATTACACTGCATCTTGACTATATACTACATCAGGGACATATGTCATGCCAGAACTATGTACCCCAGCTGCACCTTTCACTACATCTGGACCTAGAGATGCAAATAATCCTTATAGAAACTGGCATGCTAACATACTCAATACTGTACCTGATATACAATATAAGTATTTTTAAAGTTTACCCTATAAGTATCTTTGAAAAATTGCTATTGACATTTCTGACATTAGTTAACAATTTTCAAGATTGTTGGAATATTTTTAGCGAAACTAAGTACAAGTACACTGTGCAGGTACCTTTATCTACATTACGTTTTACAAAACTGGAGAAACTCTACTAATGGTAGAGATGTTACTAATTTCCCTTAGCTTTTTGATGTTATTTATCACTGATGCAGGTCTCCCTCAACATTCACGAGGGTTAGGGGATCAAGAACTTCGCGAATGTTGAAAAATCGCGAATGTTTGGTGACCCAATATATTATAGGGAAATATAATACAATACTGCTTCCTGAACCTATTGAACCATGAACAGTCATAAAACACAAGAAAATATAAGATATTGTACTAGTGCCAGCCCTTAAGTAAAGGTGAGAAAAACTATAGAATTCAAGAAAGAACTCGTAGCAGAGTACCAAAGTGGAGGAGGAAGAGAGATGGGAGAATGTGCCTTCTTCAGTGATTCTACGATATGTACAATACTAAAGCAGCACAAGTTGATAAAGGAACCAGCCAGCGATAGTGTAGCATTAACAGTGTAGCAAGTACAGTGGACCCTCACTTAACGATATGAATCCATTCCAGAGAGCTTGTCCTTAACCATTTTATCGTTAGCCGAATTAATTTTCCCCATGAGAAATAATGGAAATCCAATTAATCTGTTTCAGACATCCAAAAGCATTGCACAAAATAATTTTTTACATGAAATATACATTTCCCTACACAGAACACAATGATAAATGAAGAATAAAGCAATAATAACATCACACTTACCTTTATTGAAGACATGGTGATGTATGGAAGATGGGAGGAGGGGAGAGGATGGATGAGTTTACAATTGTTTGGAAGGGGAATCCCACTCCATAAAGACGTCAGGTACCAAGTCCTTATCCTGGGTTACTTCCCTCCTTTGTTTTTTAATGCCACTAAGACCAGCTTGAGAGCCACTGGATCCCTGTCGCTCAAAAAAGTTTTCCAGAGGTCTGTTTCTGGTATATGTTAGGAATTGTGTTGGGAGACAAGATAGTCCTTCAATATGACACTAATATCAGCTCTACAGCTTATTCATCTAATATGGCATAAACAATATTAATAACATAGAAACATGACATATACTCTAGAAAGAATAAAATACATAATTAAGTATGTCACGAGTGTTGCTGTGTTGTTGTTGGGTGTATAAGGGCCACTGACAGCATAAGCTGTACGTAATGGTGGTGAAGGCCAGCAGAGGTGGTAGAGACGGCGGTGTTGTCAGTCGCCCTACATAACTCCAACAACACTGGAGGAGTTAGGGTCGTGCTGTCTTTTTTCCTATTGATTAATCGCTTAACTTACTAAAGTTAATGCTACACTTTATTGCTGGTTGCCGCTATAGCCTTTATAGACTCCTGCTGCTTTAGTATCATACATATTGCAGAATTGCTGAAAAAGGCACATTCTCCCCTCTCTCTCAGCCCTTTACCAAAAGGCTGACTGGCACTAAAGCTTTCTTTGGGCCCATGGTGGCTTATTTAGCAGTTACAAGAACTAAACAAAGGAATAATACAAAATGTATCACATGTACACATAGAATCGTCTGCAGTGGCTTGTATACAATGGCACACTAGCCACACTGGAGTGGCCGGATGGCTCAAGCTGGGCACACACATTCTGGACGAATGACTAACTGAATTTTTTATCATTAGCTGAGCCAATATTTTGATGCAAAAACGTATCAGTATCCGATTTTATCGGATTGTTAACTGAGGGTCCACTGTAAGTTAAGTGATTAATTGATAGAAAAAGAACAGCACGAACCTACCTACCTCCAATGTTGTTGGAGTTATATAGGGCGAATGACAACACTACTGTCTCAAGTCTAGTGCCTCTGATGCCACCTCCACCACCACTATGTATGGCTTATGTCTCAGTGGCCCTTATACACCCCCCAACAACAACATAATAACACTCATGACATACTTAATGATGTATTTTATTCATTCTGGAGTATATGTCATGTTTCTACGTTATTAATATTGTTTATTATGTCAGATGAATTGTCTTGTCCTATCTCCAAACAAACTCTGCCACCGCCACAATTCCTAAGATATGTAATAACATATTTTAAATATGATTGGGCGGCTGGGAATTTGCGAATGTTCGAAGCCCGCAAAAGTGGAAAACATGAATGTTGAGGGAGACCTGTACTCAATAAGGCTTCTAGTATTGATCACTCCTAGCTTTTTTGCCAGAAAATCCTTACTTTTCCATGTATCTCTTGCATCCTAGCTTTGAGGAACAGTGGAGTAATACTGGGGTTAAAGTACCATACTAGGCATGGGTATTGTTAGTATTATAATACTGAGATCAAATGTACCCTAATTTGTCCCACAAAAAAAAAGTCTTTTCCCTAAAATGTTTTCTTATCATATGCTCAGCACTCATATACAGCTATGTCTTGTATAGTGAAAATAATGAATCCCATGGAGTGGTTGCATAATTTGAAATAGCATTATATGAATTACAGCCCTCTTTCAAAAGTTCTTTGAAGTGACCTCTGACACTGACTTATCTCATAAAGACCTTTGGAAGAGTCAGTTCAGCATCCTCCAGCGTGTGGCTGATAATTAAAGCCTGGAACTTTTTGCAGTTCGACCACCACCTAGGAACCAATTAAGTTCAGAGTTTCCACTGTATATGTAACTCTTAATTAATCTCGCCCTAAATCAAACTTCCCACTAATCAAGACCTGGCTGTACTATATGAAAAAAGGAGTAAAGCAAAATAAAACCCATTCTCGCATGTACAGTGATATAGCTGGGGTCTCATTATGTCAAGGTCATATGTGGGTTGCACCAACTAAATAAAAAAAGGTAGTCTTCCATTCTATTGATTAAATATACACTTTCGTGGCTTCCTAATCTGCACTAAACTTGAATTGACAGATGGAACACTTTAATTGAGGTGCAAATGTTATAGTAACCTAATATTGACCTAAGATGAGAAGAAAGATTAGGGAAAAAGTTAAAAGTAATAGAGAGCTGAATAACAGTTACATTACAGTGCAGAGTATGGTGATGGTTGGCCCAAAATTGAGAGTGAAGAAACCTACAGTCGAAGGCACACGCTAGAGTTCTCCGAGGCAGAATGTGATCACCCCTCCAGCAAGCAAGGTTAGTTTCTCATGCTCCTAAAATAAGTAAAGCCCATTATTCAGCATTATCTAGCTAGTGTGATTCATTCACTCTTCTTCAGCAAGAAGTCAGTCCCTCGTGGCTCTTCTAATGCATAAGCTTAATCATTCACACACTTATGAGGCAAGTTCAGTTGCTCCTTCCTAACAGATATTGCAAAATAATATCTAGTTTGTTTTAGTTCCACCCATTACACTCGCAGGGAAGAACTAAATACACAAGGGCCATACAATACCTCATACCACACAGAAAACAGTGAAAATAATTGGTTAAAGAATTAACATATACATTATTTGTAAATTATATAAACATTATTGGCACCAACTCAGGATAACAAAAATATTTGAAAGAAACACAAAAAATGTTCTATGGGAAACTAATCAATCTAACTTAATGATTTCTAGTAAACCATATTGCAATGTTTTTATATAAATGATGTAGCACTGTATAATGTGCTACAATCATAACAAATGATGACTGAACACATTGTGTTAAATGATTGGGAGTTAGTTGAAATTATAGTATGTATACCAATGTTACCATTACATATACACTGCCAGTACAGCAACTAGATGTAATGTTTCAAACAAGGTATTACACATAAAACCAAAAAATGTATTTTATAAGAGACTTGTGCAATGTTAGTTAACTTAATTATGAAAAGATTTCACCCACCAAGGACTTTATCAGTCCAACAAAGAGACAGGAAAAAAAACAAGGAAATATACAATTTGTGGTCAGTTGCAATATAGGTAGGGTGCTCCATATGGTAACTGATATCACGTGACAGTTGTCCTGATGGCTTAAAATCCCCTTAGCAAAGACTCTAAATATTGAAGCTCCCTGGTTCTGCACAACTGTATACCCAAGACTAACGGCCATGGTTTAAAAGGAGTGAAGCCTCATCAAATCCTCCTCCTTGACTGGTTCAGATTCACTGCTTTACAGGTGGTCATTGATATTTCTCTGAATAACACTGGAATTAAATATGGCAGGCTTATTTATGCTCACTGACACATACATGTAAATACTTTCTTGCATCCTCAACATATGACATATACCCTAGCCTTTGTTTCAACTAGACTCTTGTGGATTAGCATTATTGCATATGCTGATGAGGATAGGATCCTGCATCTCTGGGTGTCTTGTTCCTTGGCAATGAATCATGTGCCCTTGTAATTAATTACAGGCTAGCTCACTGTAATATTTGTCCAACCTGCCGAGGATTTTAGCCTCAACACACCTAGTCTGGCTTATCACCTCATTACACTTCACTTTCCAGGTTTATTATTATTACAATCAAAACTAAGTGCTAAACCCACAAACCTCTCGGGTTTATCTGTTTGTGACTTGATAAAGCCCACTGAGGGCAAAATAGTCAATAAACGATCCCATTATACTGCAACTCTTTCTTCCCATTTTATCTTTCATGCTTAGTTACCCCTCTTATGATACAGTTCAGGAAATTACTTATACCAGTCAGCATTAATTGGTTAATAACAAGGCCAGTTAATGTTATTCCTTTACAGTTCAAATTATTACTGCATCATATGCATGAACTGCTAAATCTGTATACACCATGCAGCACATGGAAATGGGAGGCAATTAGGCTTGATCCGAGAAAGGGAAGTACATCTCTAATTCATCTGATCAAGAGCCCTTCAACAGCATCAAAGCACACCTTTCTCTTCCCCAGTGAAGTGTATAATCATTCTTATGTTTTTGTTTTCTTTGTGCAGGTATTGAACCTCTAGAACAACTCATGGTGGACCTGGAGATGGAGAAGATGGTTTTGGATGGAGGCAAGACAGTCAAGGTATACACCACAGCTCTCTGACACCACTAGTAACCCCAAGAAACTGGTGAGTGGGGCCATCAAAAGACACTAGGGTAAATGGAGGCAAATGATGCAAAACTGACGAGTGGTGAAAAAAGACATGGGTTTCAAGTTATGACAGAGTGGTCGACACACCCAGGAGTGACAACTGTAGCATTCAAATACTCATGTTTGCCAGCCTCATTGTATCATTCCACACACTGGACACCTGATTTTTACCACTTGCTAGGTTGTAATTGGTGAAAAAGGCAGAGCTGTGGAGAGGAACTTTATGGAGACATCTTGCTTATGAGCTTTTTTTCTTTTTTTTTTTAGTTAATAAAGAAGCTTCTCCACAGGTGAAACATCACAATAAAATTCCTTTCTGTGGATGTTTTTTTTTTTTTTTCACAAATTAAAATGGAGTGTCTAATGTATGGAGTGATGAAGCAAGCCTGAAGAATATGAAGGTCTGATTGCTGCACTTACCACCCTTGGATCTAGTTTTTGACACCTTTGTCATAACTCAAAACTGTGACAACCATTCACCTAACAACTATGTTTATCAATGATCACCTGGACATTTTTTGTAAGGAATAAGAGCTTCCAGGAAAATATCTCGACAGACTGGTTACTGAAGAACTACTTGTGAAAAGACTTGGTCCACTTAGATACAGTTCAAGAGGCTCATATATGGAACTAATCTCAATTTTTAAGGAGCCTCTTGACAAAATAATCATTGTATTCATGGAAAGTTTTAAATACATCACCTAGAAAATGCGAAGTTTAATCCAATGGAAAGGCAACTCCAATTTTTTGATCAAGAGCCCTTCACCACCATAAAAGAATATCATTTGAAGGGTGTCAAAGTAATACAAGAAGCTATTACAGTAAAAAATTTCACTTATTACCATAGTCTGGAATGTGTAATTTGTGAAAGTGATATTTGCTGAGAAAGCGAGTATTGTCAGAAGCTAAGTTATACATCATTTTAAAAAAATGTGGCTTAAAATAGCATCACCTTACAAAGGCAAAGTGCCTGTTAAGTGCCAAAAAATTCCCATGTCGGGAAGACTTTCAAAATATTGCTGGAGACCCGGGCAGACAATGTTCAAAGCCTACTAGTGAAAACATAAACACTGGTAGCAGAAAATCCTTTTAATACACTGCTTCATCCAGGGCTGGGCTTTATCAAGTATTTAATGTATACCTGATAGTCTAGCTGTGAGTGAAATGTTGTATTAAAAGGATTCTATGCTACCAGTCAATATTTCCATATTGAAGAACTGCTGAAAAGTTCCAATTGTAAGGATTTATTTGCCAGTAAATTGTCAAAAGAGCTGTGTAATAGGGAAGAGTTCATCAGACTAGAAAGATGGGTGAGGTGCTGACAGGTAGCAGAGCAAGAATAAGAAGTCACAGTACCATTGCTGGAAAAATTCACAAATAACTCACACTTGCTAGAGAAAACATTAGACAAACTTTCAATCTGGTCTAGACCATTATCAGCTGTGACAATGACAGAAAAGACAGCCTAAATCTCCAATGTGGATTATTTGTGGAATGCAAAACAAGCTTTTATTAATAAATTTCTATTTCACTATGTAAAGCTCTGCACAGTGACACTATCACAATAAAATATATATATTATAAATATATATTCAGTTCCATCAGACTCATTGCTATTGGAACTGTTTATTTGAGAGCTAAGAATTGCTGGCTCTTGATTTAAGAAATTGGAGCTGCTTCCTCTCATCAAATCTGATTACTTTCCATTCTCCAGGTGTTGTATGACCTACATAATCAATGTTACTGGGAACAGGTCATAAAATGAGTCATTATATTCATGGGTTGGTTCTAAATGTGTAAGTCATACAGCATCTGGGGAATCAGAGGCAATCAAGTCTGACCTGAGGCTGGAGAGGGTAGTTCCAATCCCTAGGATTAAGAGTCCACCATAATCAGGGTATTTTCCTATTAGTGACAGTGTCAATTAATCTTTTGTGACAGAGCTGTTGCTGCCTGGCAAATGTTCATCACAAGACATGTTATTGTTGGAAATTGTTCAACTACAGCCTATTAGTACTGCTATTTTAATTCAAGGGGCAACTATTTGTTAATTGTTCATTTAAGTATTTATTGTTGAGAAAATATTCATCAAAGAATTTGTAACTACTGTTCATCAAATGACCCTTGCGAATATTTACTAAATAAACCTGTGATTCTTGAAAATCAAGTATGCCAGCTATGGAAGCTTCTATAGTGACTCCAGCTCTGTTGGAGTCACTATTACTTAGGCTGTTGATAAGAGCTAGGATCTATTGTTGCTGTGAACTGTGTAACTTAGGTTCTACCTTTAAATAAGTGTGTGTTGCTAGGGAAAGCTGATTAAAATTTCTTTTAAGGGTGTGGTGATGAAGAGTTCCTAATCCAAGGAATAGGAGCTTCCCTCCCTCGGATAGAACCTTACTGCCTCCCATTCCCAAGCATTCTATAACCCTGCGGGTTAGGTGCTCACCCATGAATGTTAATGTTTAAAGTATCCACTTTTGTGGATTACTGCAACCAGGCTGAAGCACTGAGCCTGTAGGGGATATACAGCACCTGGGAAATGGGACATAAGGTGGTGTGATCCAAGAGGAGTACAGCTGCAATTCCTTGGATCAGAAGCTTTACTTCAGCATCAAAGCACTCCAATGAAGGGCAAAGCGTCCATGATCATATCTTTGGTTGCAGAGAACAGTGTATCTACTAAGAGTTGTATGTCTGGAAACTACTCAAGAGATACAATAAGCTGATACTTAGTAAATCAGACACGTGTACATAGCAAGGATATATTGGTGAGATTTTCCTCACTGAGAGTTTTATCACACTACAAAGAGAGTTAGGCACTTTTTCCTTATAAAGACAGTCAAGGCCTAAAAAGGTTGGACTAGGGGACCAGAAAGGTGCAGGTGGGTAGAAAGGATCCGAGTTGCTGAATGTGTCATAGTGTGCTGAAAATGAAGTAGGTGAGGGAGGATTACAGGTGACACAAGGCGAGTTGTGGAATCAGAGTATCTGTATGAACGCAGTGTTCTAGAATGGTGAAGGTGAGATTTGCTTGTTAGAATCATGGATGGCAGCAGCCTTGAGATACTTTCACCTATTCCTGTCACTCTTGCAAACAATTAGCTACATCTTAAACCAATCCAGGAGATGCAAGTAGTGATTTCTCTGTACCACTTAGGCTTTAACACTGTTTTATGAGCATTTACGTTTATGAACTCTAGTACAGTGTTACCTCGGTATACGTCATTAATCCGTTCCAGGATCTTGGACTTATACCAAACGAATTTTCCCATAAGAAAAGTAGGGAAAATGATTAATCCGTTCCCATGAAAAAAAAATCCTATTGTTATTGGGATATTATACATTGATGGGGTTGTATAAAATAATTTAAACACTGCTTAATACTAAAATACATACATAAATACAAAAGAATTAGATGAAATAAATGTAAATTTAACCTGTCCATGCTTGTGGGCAGTCGTGGCTTTGTGACTCATTTTGACCCATACAAGTTCTAGCAAGCGAGTTGTATTCCAAACAAAGGTCGTATACCAAGCAAAAATTTTCGCGTCCTGTTCAAGTCCAAGTTGGACTTATTCCAAAGCCGACGTATACTGAGGTACCGCTATATTAACCCTTAAACGGTCCAAACAGATCGACGTTCAAATTCGTAGTGCTACAAAAGTAGATCTACTTTTTTTACACATTTTCAAATGTAAAACAAAAAAGATCTACATTTTTTTTACATACTTTCAGATGTTGAAAAAACGTACATATACGTTTGGCCCATTTAAGGGTTAAGATCATTTTATGTCATCTAATGGACAGTATGATACAACTAGTTTAAAAAGCCTAGAAGTTTAAAGAATTAGACACTTTTGTAACATTTGAGCATCTTCATTGTGGATAAAAATTACCAAATGTTGCAAAAATGTATATGTACAGTAGTTTCTTAAGACACAGAACAGTATAAACAACAGATATCCAAACTTAAGTGTTAAGGAGTTGAAGGAATGTGATATTCTTAATTGATTTGGAAGTCACTATTGCTATTTCCATTTAGATTTTTCAAATTGACATAGCTATAAGGACAGTATTGCTGCTAGGGAGGATAATCTATCCATCAACTTCTACCCTTTCCTAAGGGAATGAATAAAATGTTTAGTTCATGCCTTCAAGATGATATAATGTGGGGAAATTTTAAGAGTTAAATGACAACATTCATCCTTCAAGTGCTGTACTAGCAACTACAAATTCTGAAGACCTAGAGATTAAAACCGATGAGAATGACCCACATAGTTTGGAGAACAAATGGGAGAAAGTGTACAAGTTCATCCTACTTGGTCAGCTTTCTGTATACTGTCCTAAAAGAAATTATCAGCCTTGAGATCCCTTAAGAGACTTTTAATCCAAAGAATTAGACCTATTCTTACTTTCCTTGCATCAACCCTGATTGCCTATTTCCCCAAGCACTGTATGACCCCCATATAAGTTTAGTGCTTACTTCCCCTTGCACGTAATATTAATCCACGAAAACTAGTAGTACATATAACTGAAAGGGTAGCAAGTCACACTCCTCTTCTAGGGTAAATTAAATGGATGGCCCAACTTTACTGAACTGGTCATTGAGTATGATCTTAGCTAACCATTATATAAGCCAACTCAAGATGGATTTCTTAAACATAATTCCCGTTACATCATGTAGATGACATCCTCACCTACACAATGTGGATGGCTCGACCTGAAAGCTCTCAAGAACCAATTAAACCGAGTTGAGACATCCATCCAGTTCACCCTTGGTCGACTCGATACCCTTTCTTAACATGCAGTACATCACAAGGGTAAAAACTTTCTATTTAAGAAAGTATACTGGAAGTTGACCAACAAGGATGACCTTATACTGTACTCTAACCACATGGAGGCATCTTTGTCCATTTCTATTTCAAGGACTTAACATTGCAGCTAGTACCTGGAGAATAAAGACCACCATATTAAAGACAGCGTTACTTCCTTAAAACTGCCTCGCAACAAAGTTTTGAGGGAGTAAATCTACACACATTATTGCATCTACAATAGAAAGAGAAGTTGAAATATGGATTGTCCTCCCTAACAGCAATACTATCATTACAGTTACACCTATCTTCTAAAAAGATACTGTGGATGTAGAAATAACAACTTTAAAACCAATTAAAATAATGCACCCTTGACTTGCCAACATTTCCACTTGCACAGGTGGAGTTTACACTATTCCTTGTTATGACTGTGACACAGTAAAAGTATGCAAGATGAAATGTGATCTTAACACTGCACGTATGTTCCGAAATACAGTGGACCCCCGCATAACGATCAGCTCCCAACTCGACCAATTATGTAAGCGTATTTTTGTAAATGCTTTTGTAGGTGTATTTTTAGGGTCTGAAACGGACTAATCTAATTCACAATATTTCTTATGGGAACAAAATCGGTCTATAACAGCACCCAAACAGACTTATGGATTGAAATAATATCGTTATGCGGGGGTCCACTGTACAGATACAAGTGTAGGAAAGATGTCAAGGTCTACATAATATGCAGAAATTACTACTCTCATGGATTGGAATGAGGCACAAGTAATCATATACGAGAGTGGTAAAAACACATTGAAAGTAGGTAAAAGGCCCCAAGTGCAACTAACGTGACATTTTGTGGCAACGTTTCGCTCTCCAGGAGAGCGAAACATTGCCGCAATAAAATATCACACTAGTTGCATTTGTGTCCTTTTACTTCCTGTCAGTAGTTCTACCAACATTATTACACATTGTATCTAGAGGGTGCTTCCATCGAGTTAAACCAGAGGGGCATTCATTACAAACCCTCTCACACCACTCTAGAACAATGTGGAGTTCTATATATGTAGATACTCAGGTTCTCTAACCTAGTACTTTGTTACTAGTACTTCCCCTCATCTACTCCATTTTCAGCACACCACTACCCAGCACCACAGTTCCCTTATACTCGCCTGACTTCATCTTCCTCTTAGCACCTGACTGTTCTTTATAAGGAGAGAGTAACTACCTTTCTAAGTAACACGATAAAGCTCTTGTTGAGAAAATCATAGTTTTTAATAAAGGCTTCCTATATTTACATGTCTTTTGATTTACTAAAGTACTCATTGTTGATGTAAACTGTTCATTAGCAGTTGTCAATGTAAACTGCTCATCAAAGAAAACATTTACTGGGAAATGTCAACATAGAATCATTACCAATAAGAATTACTAATTTCTAACTGCTAGGTAGAAAATGGTAAAAGCTGACAAAGTGGAAATAAGACATAGCAGAGAAGCCTTTTAAACCATTCCATCCAAAGCTGGGCTTTACCATACTTGATAAAACCCAGCCTTGGACAAAAAGGATTTTCTGCTACCAGTGGCTCCATATTCCCTTTCTCATTACTAGGAAATACTGCACATCCAAAGATCCATCATGAGTCTACTAATGCTGATGAAGGAAATAATTTATAGACCTAAACAATGACTAATCCCTGTGTTTTAAATCTGTGACAGAGATAGGAAGAGTGCAATCAATGGCCAATAAATATATAATGTGGAAATATAGGTACATGTAATATGATAAATATGTCTTGTAGGATGATAAATTTATCAGCCAATTATATATTATAATTATCAGTGTGTCAGTTTTGTACTATAACAGAGATACACTAAGGAAAAAGAAAGAGATGGAAGCACTTGTGTGATTCTAATGAAGTATTTTTGTAGTACTTTAACTATTTCAAAGTTATGACCCTTCAAGGTGGGAGGGAAGGGGTTTACTAATGAAGAGTTTTTGATCCAAGGAATTGAAACTACCCTCCTCTTACTCAGATCAAATCTGATTACCTCACATTCCTCGGGTGCTGTATGACACAGGTGCTGTGCTTCCCCTTCAATACATTAACATTTCCAAGTTGTGAAATTATCAGTCACAAGAGAGTACCAAACCCATAGAAGTTACTTGCACCTGGGAATGGGGGGCAATATAAGGGGAAGGGAGCTACAACTCCTTGGATAATGAGACCAGCATCATGCACCCTTGAAGGGCCAAGGGTATGAGACAGTGTTAACAATAATAATGAACAATATGGAATTTTATAATTCTATACCCTACCTGCAGTGCACTATGACCCTTTTGGGTTCAGAGCTTAATATAATTATATTATTATTCTTGAGTGCCTGTTCTTGCAGGAAATCCACAAGCACTCACACATAAAACCATAAATATAAAAATAGTAATGTTTATAATGAAGAGTGATAGTATGATCAGGATCATAAGCTCCAGAAAAGAAATGTGCTTTTAACTGAAACTTAAAAGTATGAGCAAATTCCTGACTCTTAAAAGAATGTTGTTCACCACAATTCAGTTTGTAACAATTCATTAACTATAAAAATACCATGAAATATGTAATATCTGACTTTGTGATCCTGCTTGTGTGTACATCTAAGTTTATCATGATCTGAAATATATGTTTGTATGAAGTTGTGAACTTTCCCTGATATATTATCTGAGAGGAAGAATGTTAGCAGTTTGACACTAAACGGTTTTTTAATGAATTATGCACTGGACCTGCTGTTGTGATTAATTCCTTTCTTCTTGACTGCACCCTTCTGCCAACATAGCTGTTACAGGAGCAATGGGTGAATGTGCTCCCTATTTGGGGTCACCTAACTTCGGGAGATGACAACCTCTCACTGGCATGAAGGAACCTCCCTTAAAGGGTAAATAATCAGGATGGTAAGCACTTCACCAGGGTTCTCTACCTGTAGGGTAACAGGGTGATTAATTTTTGTTTAAAGAAAGCATAGCAAGAGTAAAAACTTGAGTGCTAAATTAAATATTAAAAAAAAAATGCAGAAAAAGCAGTGGCATACTTTACTGTACACCTAATAAATTACAGTACATGCAATTTGCAGATAACTGCAACTCCTTGGAGATTTTATGAGTCTGCCTGAAATGCCTAGGCATGCTATTGGCCTTTGTAATTGTTGTTTTATATGTAAACCACCCATTATAATCTTTACAGAGAAATAAACACTTCAATTTGAAGATAGTGAAGCTCAAGTTTGGGAATGTAGATTATTTTCCAGTAAAAGTAGGCCTTAAACAGGGATGTGTGATGTCACCATGGTAGTAGGTTGGTAGACAGCAACCACCCAGGGAGGTACTACCGTCCTGCCAAGTGAATGTAAAACAAAAGCCTGTAATTGTTTTACATGATGGTAGGATTGCTGGTGTCTTTTGTCTGCCTCATAAATATGCAAGATTACAGGTATGTCTTGCTACTTCTACTTACACTTAGGTCACACTACAAATACATGTACACGTTTATTTATACACACTCATCTGAGCTTTCTTTGATTTTATCTTAATAGTTCTTGGTCTTATTACTTTTCCTTTTATATCCATGGGGAAGTGGAATAAGAATCTTTCCATGTGTGTTGTAAAAGTCAACTAAAATGCTGGGAACAATGGGCTAGTAACCCCTTTTCCTGTAAAGATTACTAAGAAGAAGAAAATTGTTAAAGTGGAAGTCTGAATGTGCATGGATGTTGTGCAAATGATAGAGATGATTGTGGATGTTATGAATGAGAAGAAGCTGGATGTCCTGGCTTTAAGTGAAACGAAGCTGAAGGGGGTGGGAGAGTTTCAGCGGAGAGGAATAAATGGGATTAGGTCAGGGGTTTCAAATAGAGTTAGAGCTAAAGGAGGAGTAGCAATAATGTTGAAGGATAAGCTATGGCAGGAAAAGAGGGACTATAAATGTATTAATTCAAGGATTATGTGGAGTAAAATAAAGAGTGGATGTGAAAAGTGGTTTATAGTAAGCGTGTATGCACCTGGAGAAGAAAGAAGTGTAGAGGAGAGAGATCGATTTTGGGAAATGTTGAGTGAATGCGTGGGGAGTTTTGAATCAAGTGTGAGAGTAATGGTGGTTGGGGATTTCAATGCTAAAGTGGATAAAAATGTTATGGAGGGAGTAGTAGGTAAATTTGGGGTGCAAGGGGTAAATGTAAATGGGGAGCCATTAATTGAGCTGTGTAGAAAGAGATTTGGTAATAAGTAATACATATTTATGAAAAAGAGGATAAATAAATATACAAGGTATGATGTATAAAGTAAAAGGACACAAGTGCAACTAATGTGACATTTATTGTGGCAACGTTTCGCTCTCCAGGAGCTTTATCAAGCCATTACAAACAATACATGGACACAGAGGGTATATAAAGGCTCAGAGTGAGGTGAATACTAGTGAGGTACCATTTCGATGTACACTAGTGGTAGTAGTAGTAGTAGTAGTGGTAGTGACAAAAGCAATTAATTCGTACATGAGTAAAAGGATATAAAAGCTATTACTTGGGTAACATAAAAATAGGTTGGACAAATATAAACTGGAATAAGGCAGGTTGTTTCAGTGTTCACTCTCTGTGCTTTGTGTAGTATAACAGGAGAGACTATGTGATGGCAGGGTTTACTGTTTTCAGGAGGATTCTTGCTAAGACTTCGGAGATGGTGAAGCTGCCGTTGTTTTGTTTAATTGTATTCGAAACAGCGATCAGTGCTGATTCAAGGCACTTGCGTGTGCGGAAATTAGTTTCTTTTATCACTAATTGGGCGTCTCTGAATTTCATAAGATGATTGGTGGAATTTCGGTGTTGTACACAGGCGTTGTTTAAGTTGTCGTTCCTACATGCGCCTGTGTACAACACCGAAATTCCACCAATCATCTTATGAAATTCAGAGACGCCCAATTAGTGATAAAAGAAACTAATTTCCGCACACGCAAGTGCCTTGAATCAGCACTGATCGCTGTTTCGAATACAATTAAACAAAACAACGGCAGCTTCACCATCTCCGAAGTCTTAGCAAGAATCCTCCTGAAAACAGTAAACCCTGCCATCACATAGTCTCTCCTGTTATACTACACAAAGCACAGAGAGTGAACACTGAAACAACCTGCCTCATTCCAGTTTATATTTGTCCAACCTATTTTTATGTTACCCAAGTACAGTGGACCCCCGCATAACGATGGCATCACATAGCGATTATTTCGCATACCGCTTACTTTAATTGCAAAAATTTTGCCTCACATACCGCTTAAAAACCCGCTTACCGATTTTCTTCCGAGACGCGCTCACATGTTCCGCCGGTGGCATTGTTTACCAGCCAGCCTCCGCGGTAACATCCAAGCATACAATCGGAATATTTCGTATTATTACAGTGTTTTCGGTGCTGTTTCTGGAAAATAAGTGACCATGGGCCCCAAGAAAGCTTCTAGTGCCAACCCTGTGGTAAAAAGGGTGAGAATTAGTATGGAAATTAAGAAAGATTTTGAAGGGTTTGGGGCTAACCTGAGAAGCCTATGCAGTTGTGGAATCCATTGTGCCTACTTCAAAAATTAAGGAAATGTGTGCACAGTGGGTTGAAATGCAAACCTTTATGGATGAAAATCACCCTGACACAGCTGTTGCAAGCCGTGCTGGTGACTATTTCAATGACAATGTTGTGGCCCATTTTAGACAAATCGTAAAGGAACGGGAGGTACAGAGCTCTATGGACAGATTTTTTGTGCGACAGAGGTCCAGTGACTCTCAAGCTGGTCCTAGTGGCATTAAAAGAAGAAGGGAAGTAACCCCGGGAAAAGGACTTGCTACCTCAAGTCCTAATGGAAGGGGATTCCCCTTCTAAACAGTAAGAAGATAATGCTCTCCCCCCCTTTCCCATCCCATCAATCAATCACCAGATCTTCAATAAAAGTAAGTGTCATGTAAGTGTGCATGCCTTTTTCAGTTTGTGTGTTTTAAAAATTAACATTTCATGTGTAAAAAAAATTTTTTTTCATACTTTTGGGGTCTTGCACGGATTAATTTTATTTCCATTATTTCTTATGGGGAAAATTCATTCACATAACGATTATTTCGCATAACAATTACCCCTCTTGCACGGATTAAAATCGTTAACCGGGGGTCCACTGTAATAGCTTTTATATCCTTTTACTCATGTACGAATTAATTGCTTTTGTCACTACCACTACTACTACTACTACTACCACTAGTGTACATCGAAATGGTACCTCACTAGTATTCACCTCACTCTGAGCCTTTATATACCCTCTGTGTCCATGTATTGTTTGTAATGGCTTGATAAAGCTCCTGGAGAGCGAAACGTTGCCACAATAAATGTCACATTAGTTGCACTTGTGTCCTTTTACTTTACATATTGTCGGTAATTCTACCAACTTTATTACAAGGTATGATGTAGCATGTAATGAAAGTAGTTTGTTAGATTATGTATTGGTGGATAAAAGGTTGATGGGTAGGCTCCAGGATGTACATGTTTATAGAGGGGCAACTGATATATCGGATCATTATTTAGTTGTAGCTACAGTTAGAGTAAGAGGTAGATGGGAAAAGAGGAAGGTGGCAACAACAACTAAGGGAGGAGGAAGTTCGGGGGAGATATAAGCGACTGTTGGCAGAAAGGTGGGCTAGTGCAAAGATTAGTGGGGAGGTTGAAGAGGGTTGGAATAGTTTTAAAAATGCAGTATTAGAATGTGGGGCAGAAGTTTTGTGGTTATAGGAGGGTGGGGGCAGGTGGAAAGAGGGAGTGATTGGTGGAATGATGAAGTAAAGGGTGTGATAAAAGAAAAAAGTTAGCTTATGAGAGGTTTTTACAAAGCAGAAGTGCTATAAGAAGAGCAGAGTATATGGAGAGTAAAAGAAAGGTAAAGAGAGTGGTGAGAGAGTGCAAAAGGAGAGCAGATGATAGACTGGAGAGGCACTGTCAAGAAATTTTAATGAAAATAAGAAAAATTTGGAGTGAGTTAAAAAAAGTTAAGAAAGCCTAGGGAAAGTATGGATTTGTCAGTTAAAAACAGAGTAGGGAGTTAGTAGATGGGGAGAGGGAGGTATTAGGTAGATGGCGAGAATATTTTGAGGAACTTTTAAATGTTGAGGAAGAAAGGGAGACAGTAATTTTATGCACTGGTCAGGGAGGTATACCATCTTTTAGGAGTGAAGAAGAGCAGAATGTAAGTGTGGGGGAGGTACGCGAGGCATTACGTAGAATGAAAGGGGGTAAAGCAGCTGGAACTGATGGGATCATGACAGAAATGTTAAAAGCAGGTGGGGAAATAGTGTTGGAGTGGTTGGTACTTTTGTTTAATAAATGTATGAAAGAGGGGAAGGTACCTAGGGATTGGCAGAGAGCATGTATAGTCCCTTTATATAAAGGGAAAGGGGACAAAAGAGATTGTAAAAATTATAGAGGAATAAGTTTATTGAGTATACCAGGAAAAGTGTACGGTAGGGTTATAATTGAAAGAATTAGAGGCAAGACAGAATGTAGGATTGCGGATGAGCAAGGCTGTTTCAGAGTGGGTAGGGGATGTGTAGATCAAGTGTTTACATTGAAGCATATATGTGAACAGTATTTAGTTAAAGGTAGGGAAGTTTTCATTGCATTTATGGATTTAGAAAAGGCATATGATAGAGTGAATAGGGGAGCAATGTGGCAGGTATATGGAATAGGTGGTAAGTTACTAAATGCTGTAAAGAGTTTTTATGAGGATAGCGAGGATCAGGTTAGGGTGTGTAGAAGAGAGGGAGACTACTTCCCGGTAAAAGTAGGTCTTAGACAGGGATGTGTAATGTCACCCTGGTTGTTTAATATATTTATAGATGGGGTTGTAAAAGAAGTAAATGCTAGGGTGTTCGGGAGAGGGGTGGGATTAAATTATGGGGAATCAAATTCAAAATGGGAA